GTGCTACAGAAATAAAGAAAAAAAAACCTCTGGTTTATCTGAGTAGCATTAATGCACAAACGTGAACTCCTCATGAACGAGCGGAAACTAATTGTAGTTTAGCTCAGTCAGCACAAAACTAGAGCATTAATACGCTCTTCTGTTTGCTAAGACAGACCACGCACAGTGTGCACCACAGACCTACCTGTTCACAACACGCTGCCCACAAAGGCTCCAGCGTTGTTTTGTGTTCACACAGCCTGAGTTATTCAACAAGTAGCAAACATGAGAGCGAAGTGTCAACGTCCGCTCAGCCGCACTTTCCCTCTCGCTCCTTCCCTCTTTCTTCACTGTCTTTACAACTTGGCCAAAATATCACCAACGCTCTTGACTGTGAATTTAAAGCGAAACCAACTGTTAAGTGCATCAATGAAACAAAGCCCCGTCGACTGGTGATGGGAAGCCAGGGCGGACAAACTTAGCCCGCAGTCTGTCGCTCCTGTTCGGCAGCAGTGGGGGCGGTCATCTGTCGCTGCCTTCACTGGCGCATTCAACCTCAGGCTTATGTCTGCCAAAGCCAATAAACATCACAATTCCCTTATGTGTTTTTATTTAGTTCTTCTTACTAGCTGTTTTATTCGACACATGAGGAGGCACAGCAGCAGGCGACAACACAACAGCAAACATATACGAACAAAACTTACGCGTGTACTCACTGAGTGGCAATATTTCCAATTGTTTGTGAAGGCATCACCAAACCAGCCAAATGTTCTCACTCAACCTGAAGCTTCCAGGATAAAGGTGTGATTATCTGAGTTTTATTCAGCTAACTGCAGTAATTTTATAATAATGGGACCTTTTCATTGGCAACACCGCTTGGTAGTGTAAAGTGACTATCTGGCAGTTTTTAAAAAGTTTTGAAGCACTATCTGATAATTGGATTAAAACATCTCTTGACTGCTGGTTCGTGGGTCAGAACGACCCATTTGCGAAAAATAACAGCAGTTACCAAACTTTCCTGCAGCATCCTTCTACATCTTTTAGATGAAGCAGGGACATCTCGATTAATCAGATAGGTGTTAAACCTTGTTGCTCATATGTCAGATTATCCTAATACTACTGAAAGTCTCGTTTATGAGCAGGATAATATGTTGCTTTAAAAAGTGCTTCAGTAATGTCAATGATGATGAGAATTGTAGTCTGCCTTGTGTTTTTGAAGGCCCCAGACTTTGTGACAGATGCCATCTGTACTCTGCCAATCTGCCATTCCCTGAAGACTGAAGGAGGAGCAGTCTGTTTGGTTGTGGCCTTTGATCTACAATGAAGATTGTACATTGCAACCTAATTTGGTAAAAAAAAAAAGCTTAAAATGGAATACTGCACTGGTTAGTGTGGTTTTCTAAACGTTATGTTGCCCTCTACTGGCTATGGTTCAAAATAAATATTGTCAACAAGTCACAAAACCAACTACTACTGTAAGTCCCACAGCTAAATTTGATGGTGATTTTTTTGTTAAGACATTGGATTGTTAGTTATGAGGTGTGATGAGTAGCTTTAGGATGCATGACTGCCAGGAGGCTTAGACTAGAAGATGGCAGAAGTTGGTAAATACTGTACAGGTATCATGTGATTCATGTCTTGTGGGGATATTCCAGTGGTGAAGCAGAGTTTAATTTCATTATTTGAGCCATCACATTACTGCTGTGCACATCCTGTAAGACAGAAATGAGTCCAGACAAGTCTCACTATGTGTAAATGATACTTTTCTTAGTCATGGGCAGATTATAAGACAATGGGCCCCATGGCACAGACATGTAAAAGGTCCCCACCCCTCCTACATTTGAGCAATACCCCCAGAGTGAAAGAGATGAAAAATACAAAACACAAGGTGGCCTTCACCCCCCTCTATTTGTCATTTATGGATATCTTTGTAATTGTTGTAGTATTTTTGTCTCTTTGTGGTTGATTTTCATCTGTTTGTAGCCTAGGTGATTTGACTGACCATTTTGTGTCTCTTTTTGGTCGTTCTGCAACCATTTGTGGTCATTTTGTGTGTCTTCACAGTATTTTTGTGTCTTTTTTAGTAATTTGATTCACTTTCCAACAAGAAATGTTAATAGTCACTTCAAACAAGGCTCTGGCCCAGTTCAGTAATCCTTCCATTTTCTTAATGTCTGTCTTAAAACAACACCCATATGTGCCCACAGTACATTTGAGGATCTTTGAGTTGCTGTAATCAAACCTCCTTGCTGTTCTGGTCGAAGTCCCATTCTGATCAGATTATAATGCAAGTGACAGGGAACAAAATGTGCAGTTTTTGTTCTGCAGAATGACTTCTACAGTGCTTCTGTAGCATAGTTGTAGTTAGTTAAATCAAATGGGTATCTCCTAACCTCAGAGTCCTTTTAGTGTGAAATTCCCTCCGTGCTTCCCTGGACAGTATTTTCTTGCTGAGCTGCAGTGAGGAGATAGAAACACAAAGAGGAAAGTTTGTATTACATACAAGATGCAACAACATTATGGTGTTGCTGTAAGTTTTTGAACAGTTGCAGATGTTCTCAAACATCACTTCGATCCACATTATGCTGTATGCAAGAAATTGTAATATGTGTCCATGTTTATAATATCTTCAAGGCACAGGCATTTTTTTTTTTTACAGATTGCTCACGAATTGTAAAGAGGACCTCAGACAAAGTAAACGTCAAGTGTGTGGGAGACAACAGTTAATTTAGAGGCTGGGACAACGTGAGATTGGCAACAGGGTCTTAAGTTATACAGAATATAAATCTTAAAAGCTTTTCATGGTAAACAGCAACACTTAATAGAGTGTCTGTCCTTCTGACCATGAAATTAAATGGCACTGTCTTTTTGCTGACCTTCATTATTGTACAGCTGACTGAACACTGACGTCACGCTTCTGTATTTAATTTGTATATTTATTACAAGTGTAAAATGTGACTTTGTAACTAGCCGTCTCCACCTGTCTCCCCAGGCAAGCCTTTCTCTGTCCTCTGATGCTGGATGTACTCATAAAGCAGAGTTTATTGCAGGACTAAGAAGACTATAACATCCTAACAGAACAAGACCTCTAAATAATCAGTCTGATTCTGTGACCCGTGGAAAACATACTAAAAATGTCAGATGTCAGATTATAGACTACAAGGCCATGAATATTTTAACACTTCCACCGAACCCCTGTGCAAGTAGCTATGCAGTTTGATTAGGAATTCTTACTGCTTAGCATGTTGGGTTTGAGTCAAGAGAATTCAAATGGTCAAAGAGTTTAATGAACTGGTGACATAAAAACATTTCCCTGCCCACTTTCTCCACCTGCTCCCCTGTTGGATGTTGTTGAGAGGGCGATCTGAAACACCCGCTTTGATCACATTTACAAAGTCAGTAAAACAGCCAATCAAGCTGAAGAGCTGGTAAAACATTACTGCGCCCTTGAAGCATGGTCCACAATGCTTTGAGTCAATAATTTACCTGTGACTGCCTGTTGATTTATCACAGCTAGATGGGATGAGACGGTGGATGTTGCTGATGGCTGTTATGGGCAACAAAAGTGTGTGTGCGTCTGTTGTGTGCCATTCAGGAGGGGGGATAGGCTACAGCTGGAAGTATATAACTATGTCAGGACCACAGGAGCATATATCAGTCTTCTTCCCACCGGAGGACCTTCTTACAAATTAGAAGCACTTACAGCAACAGAGTTCTACAGAGATGAAGTGTAACCGTCTCCTGTCCTGGGCCTTCCTACTCATGGCCTCTGGCCCACTGCTAGCCCACCCCATCACAGAATCTGCTGAGATGACTTATCCAGGATATGGTGAGTGGAAAATAACATCTCTATTAGAGCTGTTCTTCACAGTAAGTGATTAGCATTTTTAGCAATAGAGCTTCATTTGTGAAGATTAAGCAGGCAAGTCATGTTCTGTGTCCTTGAAGTAATTACTTTAGAGTTTTACTTTTGAATACTGATTGTTCTGCCAACATTCAGATGCTGATTTGTGCTGATTTGTCTGCAATCAACACAATACAATCAGCTTTTTGTTTAAGTAATTCAGAGTGCCAAGTTATTGCTGGTTATCATAGAATGTCATGGCAAAAATGTAACATAATCAGTATATACTATTCAGCATACTGCAAGTATATGAATCATGTCGTTAAATAGAAAATATAAACTGTGTGAATCTATACCTGTCACTGGTGTGTGTGATGGTTGCCTTCAGTGTCAGTGGAGGACCAAGGAGTTGGCGCTCTTGATGATCTGTCTCTCTCCCAGCAAACCTTCGCTCCTCAGGATGGTGCCGGTCTTGGATACTCCACTGTGATGTCTGGGGTGATCAACAGAGATGGTGAGAAATACACACACACACACACACACACACACACACACACACACACTTGTTTTTATTTGGTTTACTATTAAGCAGCACCACTGGAGTGATAGAGGGCTGGAGGTAATGAGCAGGCAGTTTGTAGTTGTTAACAAAGGTGGGAAAGACGCTGCTTTATTTTTCCACCTTTATATCTGTAATAAAGCTGGACATGCACAGAAACATGGCTAATAGTCTCATGTTTTATTTTCTCTCAGGTGTCAGAACAACAGGCCTGCTTCCTAGGGGTGTGAAAAGACAGGTGGGTTTTCTACAAATGCTATCCCAATTATAAATATAACATTTAGGACTACTTTCTAAAATTTTCTCTTTCAGGTCCTATTAGAGAAAGTCCTAACCCCATTTGGGCGTGTGTTCAGCATCCGGAAGGAGTTCAGGAAGAGAGCAAGGAATTCTGAGTGTTTCTGGAAGTACTGTGTCTAAAACTGACAGCAGGTCTTCATGCTACACATAAGTGACAAGGCTTGTGCTAAACCAAAAATCCTTATCTTGCACTCACATACTGTAAGTACATGCAGACAAACTAAGAAGCGCTGTCAGTATTTGTTCACTAAAAGAACAATGCCATAGGTGTGACTGAGACATGCCGCTTCAGGACTTTAAGATAATTTATGAAAGTTACCTTTATGTTGTGTAAAATTATATGTGCAAAAGTCCTTTTTGACTGCTGTATGACCAAAAGTCTTTTCATTGTGAAAGTCAAAGGTTATGTTGGCAGAAATATAGTATATAAATAAAAACTATGAATACTGTACTGTCTCTGCTAATGTTTTTCTTGATAAAAAGCCCTTTTTTAAAAGTACAAGAAGAAACAAAAAGACGTTGGAAACTTGGTTCTCAAGTTTTCTTCATTTTTTCCTTTTTTTATTATTTTACAGCAGAAAGAATATAAAGCATTCAGAAAACATCTTCCATATTTTAAGGGCAATTCAAAATGTTTTGCATGGCTTCAGCAGCTGAAATCTCTTTTTTTTTTAAACATATCCATCGAGTCAGTGACGCTTGTACATGCACAATTACAAAAATAAAGCTTACAAACAAGAGAAGGGAAGAAAAAGGAGGAAAGCAAAACACATTAGAACCAAGAGGAGATGAAGCTTTTCAGGGTAAGGTTTGGGAGTGGAGAAAAATTTGGGTCACATAACAGGGAAAGACAGAGAAAGACAGCTATAGAGGAGAGGAAAATAGATCTAACACTAGTTCACATGCAAAGTGTCGAGGACCCATGACTTTCTATCAAAGCAGGGCCCTTTTTTTTTCTTGGTTTGGAATTGATGAAAACGTGCAGTTCGGTAAAGGGTGCCATATAATTGCTGTCCATAAACTACTGAATGCTTGTCTTGCAATACTGGCATTTGCATAAGAGTAAGTCAACTACGTGTCCAATCATTTTAAGCTTCACTAGGTCTATAGGTCTCCACAAAATAGTTCTTTATTGCTCTGTGTCCACAAGTGGAATATGTTGTAAAACGGTTTCTGTTCTGTTGTCCTGATGTGCCTACCTTTCTCTGGTTTGGGTGCTTGGGAAAAAGAAGAGGAGGAAAGGCAGATTCCCAGGTCAGTTTGCAGAACATAATGAAATTGATAATATACTATGAAGAGAACCTAGCAACTAACCCGTCATCCCATTCATAAATGGCAGTAAAAACAAGATTTGCATTTGAACTTTTCACATAATTACACTCTAAATCTTAAATACCCTCTACATTTTGTCACTTAGATAAATTAAAGGCCTAAAGAAAGGGCCAGAATTATACTATGATCTGACAGGCTTCTGTGAAACAATGTCAAATCATTTTCTTAATGAACTATATATAATGGGACTTTATTCCAGGGCTCAACTGGTGTCTGCAATGTTAAACTTTGCTAAAAAGAAATAGATTATATTTCACATTAAAACCATTTTAAAGACTTCAGTATCGCAGTGGCGGACCTGTCTGTCCTGGATTCTTTACCAGAAAGCACTGCTAGGAGGGTTTCCTATTTCTTTTTCAGCTTCTTCTGCTGTGAATCATGTGTCCTGCTCTGTTTCCTCCTCCCCATTTTGGCACCCTGAGTAAAAAACAGAAGGGAGGTGAACAAGTCCCTCAGCCCGGAGAAGAGCAATGCTGCCTTCACCGCTTTATGTACAAGGGAAACTGCACCTTGACATGTCTACATGTGTGCTGTGCAGTGTTTTGTGCATGTGTCTGTGTGTACCATGTGTCGCTATAGTTAATACTTGCTATATATATACTGTCATACTGGTCTCCAACCTTGTCCATTTTGTCCTATTTAAATTTGGGAGCACACAGATCAAATCTAAGTGAACTAAAAACTAAAGAAAAACGTCTAAAAAAATTAGAGCTCGCTCTAAAAGAATCTGTTCTCATGCTTTGCTATGAAAACATCTGTAGCCTCTGAGAACTGATCATTGGCTCATTGGGATCATTTCTAGGTCTGCCCTCAAGTCACACGCCTACTGTTTTGCTGAGTTCTGTGACATGTCAAACCAATGCTCATCTTTTTACAGAACAGTAAGTCTTTTAACGAGTGTATCTGACTACCGATTCTAGGAAAATAAGCATGCTTTTAGGTGCGGTTCTGACACCCAGTTAACTATTTTACCCATGCAAGCATAATAAATCCTTCTCCTTTTCGCTGCAACATTGCACTGGCTATGCAGTCTAACAACAGACTAGAGCGGATGAATGCAAGGCAACAAACCCCAGTAGTGGCATTTCTAACTGTGATTTTAACAAGCAGTCCTGGTAGCAAACTGAAAAGAAGGCATAGAAAGAACAGAAAAGCATGTTAACAAGCTGGAGTGCTGTACTGATACTGGTGAGCAGGGACTTCTGGCTTTGGTGAGTCTAAGGTGATGGTGATCGTATGCGTTCATGCGGAGGATACAGCACTGAATGTGGTCGATCAAGTTCTCTCACATTTACTCAACCTCAGGTACAGTGCATGCATTCTCATACTGGATTGGTGTGATCAGGATATGAATAGGCACTTTCTACAGAAACGCTCGGGAAATACAGTTTACATATCTGGTGAGTGGGGAAAAAAGAAAAACAACCTACCAGTCAAGAAAAACTAATCGGAGACATAGCCTAATAATTATTTAACAAAAATGACAATTCAATAAACAAAACTCAAATTTTCAGTGGCACTTGGCTGAATAATCACACATCAATAATTGGATACAGAATTGTTTTTCTGGTAGTAACATATTCTAGGAATTAGGCAGCAACCGATGGACATCTCTAAACCCATGCTCATGTGTATCGTCTGTGAGACTGTTCTTACAGTCCAATCTATATGTATCTGCTATCCAGTGTACAAGACACAAGCTTTGTAATTCTAAATGGTACCAGTGCACTAGAGTCATTTTGGCTCACTGACCCTACAGCGTGGCACATGTCAGCTTTCAGAATTGTTTTAGCACCGTTTCCTGTGGGGACAGTTCAGTTTTCAGTTATGTTTAAATACACTTACAGTATGCTACACGCTTTTTCAAATAGAGGATTTTGTCTAATTAGATACTGGCAGCCTCGATCAAGAAGCTGTATTTGGAAAATCCATTCACCGGTTTACTACGGGGATCAGCCCAGAAGTGATCAAGCAATGCTTGCCACAACATTTAAGGAGGAAAATTCAATCTGTTTCAGTGACAGAGAGTAATAACATGGATTGCTTGATAGGGAAACTGTGGGCAAGGCTGCCATTTACAGTCTTAACAGGATACCTCAGTAAGACTTCACATTCCATTTGACAATGAAAACAAAACTCAAAACTTTGCCATGGTGTATTCAGTTATCTGTGGGAACGGCGGAGACACGAGAACTTAAATGTTTTCTGATTAAATATGATTCCCTCTGCAAACTGTGCACCTTAGTGTTCTCGTTATCCTTGGCCAGTTATGGTCTTCAGTGTTAGTGTGTGTATTTCACTGTATGATTATCTGTTCTGCAAAAATTAACTTAATTCTTTGCTTAAGCTAGATAGCATTCACATACCTTGGCACCATTGGCAAAAAATTCTTGGTAGCCCAAAACTAACAGAAGAAAAAAAAAGGAACATAACTTTATCTGTATTAAGATAATTTTGCAGACTTCTCCTAACTCTAAGTACAGTATTTTTGAAAAATTTTTCATATTGCAATAATTTCATGCTTTAGCAAAACGTTCTTCTCAAGAACAATCAAAATAAAATAAAATACTCTTAATCGTGAAATAGTTTTCATTTTACAGAGCATAGCCACTACTGCTTTTGTTGTTTTTTTTCCCCTTTTGACTCTGTTCATACTTTTCATGCACATAACTCATTTTTATCCCAGGTATTTACACTATATACAAACAACACAACCATACTTCTTAGGCATTCGAACAAAACTATACAAATATTTTGTTTTTGTCTCTGACCTGTTTTTGACCCATTTTTAATGAATAAAATAATATATTTCTAAAATACAATCCCCTTTGGGTAAATGGTTTTTCCTACGTACTTTCAGCCTTCTTTATATACAGAAATCGCTCAATTGTCAAAAATATGGATTTGTCAAACCCCTATTTTGGGACAAGCTTAGGGACCCCTCAAAGAATCTCTAAGACGTCAAGGCAATGTATGTGATCTTCACCTCAGAAGCCTTCACAGGCTCTGAGGTTCATTTAAAAAGAACAGCAATAACTTGCATGACCATAACCCTTACAACACAAAATCAGCAAAAAAAGAAAGTTCTTTTCTTTTCTTATGTTTTCAGAGGAGCAGTCAGCTGAACAAGGCAAACAGAAACAAAAGAAAAAAAGGACAAAACAGGTATAGCTTCATTACTGAGATGGCAAAACGCATATGAGAGAAGATGGATACAAGTACCACTACAGTGGGAAACTGAAAGAAAATCAGAGGATGGGCTGAAAGACTAGACCATAAGCACACGAGCAAAGACTTTTCTTGCCAAGAAGTCATGCATTTTTTTCTTGGTAGGGTTCAACAACATAGAGTCTGAAGATACAGATCACCAATACATTAGACATAACGGAACAAATACACTGGACAGTATGGAACAAATTCAAGTAATAAAGTGACAGTTTTTACGATAAAACATAGGATGTTTTTTTAAGAAATGGCAAAATGAAAATATACCTTCCCCCATCTGCATCTGCATGGTTAAACCCTTGACTACATTCATCTGTAGCTCCACCCGTGTGGGCAGACAGGTGGGGTTGAGCACAGTGGGACAGGAGGAACTAGTTGAGATCATTGAATAGTATACCATCTATAGCAGTGGACAGAAGTGAGTGTGTGGGTTACTGATATATTTGGTAAAAAAAACAAAACCTTTGTTCTTCAAATCAATTAGTTGGTAATTAAAAAAAAAAAAAGTGATATGCAATTAGAGCCCAGAGTGTTTCTGCATGGTCTCCCTATCCTCTGAGATCTTCCGCAGCAGCCTTCATTTACGTCTCTTCGGGTTCTGATATGTGACACACCTTCTCGAATGTGTCTTGGGTTCACTTCCTTCACTGTCCAAATCCTCTTTACATCCAGAAAACACAAAGCAATCCATGAAAAAGTGCAAAAAATGCCATGAAGCAAATGTTCCACACCCCCCCACCCCGACCCACTTAGTTTATAATCCCGTAAATGTTGCCACTCTGACCAAAATCAAGTCAGTGGAAAGAATAGATATGTGAAAAAATGCTGTTGTACATGAAAGAGTAGTTGACCCAGTGACACTGCAGTAGTAGTAATAATTGCAGTGCTTGCATTGATGTTTTTTTTTCCATCTCTCTTGTAAAATGTCTCGGTTACAAATGAAAAAGAAAAGAGGAGTCAGGAGAGTGATGTCACATAGCGAGGGGGCTCTTCTGAGGGGTCTCATGTTCCCTGGCCCTTTTCAATTCTTTCACCCTGGAACACAGAGAGAGAGAGAGACGGGCATCCATGAATGCAATATCCATGATTTGAGTAGCAAGCTTATCAAGGCACACACAGGGCAAACAGTACCACACTGTTCAGCCAGAATTATCACAACAATAACGAGTCAGCCCAGATCATCAGGAGCTACGGCTGGTCTGTGAAAGGAAATGTAGGTGAGGATTGAACTGATCTTACACTTTGCAATGAGTAAAATGGGATAATTATAGCACAAATACAGAATCATTACTACATTAATGTATTATTTGGGATAAAATTAACATGTTTGTCAAAATAAGTACTTCTTGTCATGAAATCCATTTCATTTTAAGTGTTCTAAAATAATATGGCAGTTATATTATAAACAGTATTATATTTATTATTAATCCAAAGTTATATTCCTCATTTCAAAGCGACACCCTGACACACTTTTTCAGCAAAATGCGGCAAGTGACACTAAGGCGATCACCTCTGATTACTGCAAATAAAGATTAGAATGTAATACAGACCTGTCCTTCTACATTTTTAAATCTATTTAGCCTGAGTTCAATGCTTAGGGTCAAGACAGAGGTCACTTCCTTATATAAAAACACTAAAAGAACTAAGAAGTCTTTCCAAGCACACATCTCACTAATAATTTCAATTCTTAATAAATACATTCTCTGTCACTTCACTAAAAAACACCACCAGAAGCTATAACTGTATGAGCACAAAGCAGCCAGCCTATTGAGAACACATGTACTCTACCCTAAGAACTGATCACGAGCGCCACCGATCGATTTAGTTTTTCTCAGGTTACTTAGCAGAAGTTAAATACCGCAGCACTTATGCGCTGAAAAAAGGCAGGCTACATACAGTGGGTGCACACGTAGATGCAGTGTGCACACAAACACACAACAAGCGTGTGGCCTTGTCTTTCAATACTTGTGGGGACCAAAACCTGAGAGTTTCATGAGGACTGGCATCACTTGGACCAGAGGCTGGTTCCTAGGATTTTATGAAAATGACGCAGTGTAAAGTGAGAGCACGTGTCAGCTTTGGTTAGGGTAAGTGTCCTGAAAATGAATGTAAGTCTGTATAGGGACCTGGTAAACGACAAAAACAAAGACATATGTGTGTGTGTGTGTGTGTGTGCGCGCGTGCGCTGCATCCTCTCATGCTGAGCTGGGGTACTCTCTGGAGGTTTGAATCTATTAGAGTTCTGTGTTATAGTCCCATTGGACAAAGAACCTATCGTTTGTTTTTTTGCTGTGACCTACTTGCTGCCACAGCTTCCTAACCTATATCACAGACAAGCAGACAAGTGTGCCATAACAGGTGGGTACACCCACAATCAACCTGCTCTGAAAGCAAGTTAGCCTATTTAGGCCAGTATCCAGCAGATATGGAGTTAAGAGTAAAAACATGAATGTCCACAGCAAGGGGGTTAAATATTTGTGACAATAATCAAATGCTCAGACTTCTATATATGTTATATATGATGTTGTGAGCTCTTCCCCACTCAGGTGCATCTTTCTGTATAATATTTTTAATGTATTTATTTAGTTTTAATGAATCAATGCTCATGTTACATTCAACAGTTTGACACAGATTTAGTAACTGTAAATTAAAGGGGTTAAGTCCCTCTATCGGTCTGTCGAGTGGCTAGAAACAGGGCACACAGCCAGTCAAACAGACAGACAGCTACTTGAGAAACAGCAGGCCCATAGCATGCCTAAAGGTAGAAGAGCAAGGCCCATAGTTGTCACCACTTCACATGCAGCAGAATAAAACATGACTGAGAAAAAGAGTCCCGTTTTGTCAGACTGTCTATCTGCATAACCACATCAAACTAAAAAAAAAAAGGAAATCAAGAACAAAAAGTAACTTCCAAGGAGAGACAGACAGAGGTAAAGAGAGTCAGAGAAGTGCTTGTTAAGTGTTGCAGTGATATTGTCATTCATAAGCATTTTGTTAGTCTGACAGAGGTTTTGCTCTAAATCTGAGCTTCTTAAGTCCACCTGTGGCTCCAGTCAGCAGCCTTCATGCAAGCAGGCATCAAGCAACAGTGATGGAGAAGGAGGTAGGGTGGGGAGAAGGGTGGGAGAAAGAGAGAAATAGCAAAAGAGAAAATGAGAACGAGGGGAGGAGGGAGACAATACGAAGGCTGAGACCTCAGGAGGAGATAACTGTATTATTAAGGAGTGAGACAGAGAGGGAGGTAAGAGGGAGAAAGAGGCAAACAGAATAAAGAGGAAGAGAGGCAGAGAGCAAGAGAAAGAGGCACGAACTGAGTTGCTGAGGCTGCACTCACCCGCTTGAACAGTCTATGGTCCATCAAGGGGCTTGGCATAAACAGCAAAACAATACCAGACAGCTATTAGCACGCAATAGGAACTGTGAAGGAGGGGGCGAGGACAGGTGGGGGCCAAATACAGTGAGGGGGAAGGAGGTGGAGCTGAGGTGTTAGAGACATTTCTAACCACCCAGTTTTTCCAACAAAAGTAAATCAAACACATTATATGGAGTAAAGAGAATCTCTGAGAGATTATGACATACTGTACTAGTAGTCTGTACTGTGTCTTACTGATTAGCTCAATGGGATATTATTCTTACCTGCGCAGAAAATCTAAATGTGAAGGTTTATCATGCTCATGTAAAGTTGTGTTTCTATATGTGAGTATGTTAAACTGTGTGAGAGTCAGTGCTGGGGGTCTACCTGTGGCGGCAGCGACGCAGAAACCTCATGATCTTCCTGGCAGCCTGATCCTGCCTCTTTGTCAGCAGACTTCCTCTATAAAAACCAGATAGAGAACACTGTCATACTGTTTGTGGAACAACAACTGAAGATCGGAACATTTCACTTTACTTGCGAATAGTTCTATTCCAAAACACAACATAATCATTTTTTAAACAAAATCATTTATAACATGAAGTTGTTCATCACCTCTGAAATCCTCAGGGTTACTCGTTTAAATTAATCTGTTCATAAATGACTGTTACTCTTCAATAGGTCCAAGACTTTAATCTCAATTTCAATTTAATGTGTCTGTGGCAATTGTAAGGTAAGTCCACATCAACACAAACACTACACATTAGCACAACACAGATGAGCACCCACATCACCATACAAACACCACACATATCACAGTAAACCAAAATAAACCATCATTCACAAAGACTTGTTCATTAATTTTATACTGGAGTGAATGAATGATATCTGGGCAACAGCAGTACCCTGTACCTTCATCTTGATGGCAACAACTCATATTCACTACACAGCGCATGTGATAAGTAATAATGCCTGGGCCGTCCTCAAAGCTCGGGACTCAAAAGCACTGTCATACTGTGATGCTGTTTACCTGTGACCTTACTAGACAAATGAACAATTTCATTAAGTTCATTCTTATTAAGTGAGAAAATGAGAAATATCAACCAATCAAGCAAAAAGGTAGAACACTCCACAAATGGATGTTAGAAAAGGACCAGTAAATGTCCATCTGCATCAAACTGTCAAAGCTTATGCATGAAGCACAATCGCAGTAGCCCCTTTAATACAGTCCCCATGAATAATTATTTATTGGTCCCCTTCTCTTCTTGTTCTAAAGTCAAAGATAATTTTCTTGGGTTTCTTAGTATTAAGATGCAGAGAACTGTCCTGACACCAGTCAACAAACTGATCCACACTTCTATGGTACTTCACTTAATCTCCACTAATTAGACCAACAATCACAGTGTTGTCAGTGAATTTAACATTAAAAACATCCGGTGAGGTGCCCCTACATTTATTTGTATAAAGAGTAAACTTCCCCGTGGAGCCCCTGTGTTGGTCGTAAAAGGAGAACACCCTGTAGTCTATTTATCAAAAAGGGCTCCACTGTGGCTTTACTTTGTAGGTGATAATATGACAAAGTGATATCCTCGTTATCCTACTGTCTCTAGCAGGGTTAGTATATAAGGATAATAATCACCTTTATTGGCCAAGTACATTATACAAGGAATTTGTTTCCGGTACAGAACTGAGTCAGCCATCTGCGGCGCCAACTCAACCGATGGCTCTAACCATCGGGGGCAACTTGGGGGTTCAGTGTCTTGCTCAAGGACACTTCGACACCTGGACTGCAGGCACTGAGATTCAAACCCCCAACCGAGAAACGACTGCTCTACTCACTGAACCACAGTCAAGCATTTGGGCTTAAATACATAGTTTAGAATCTACCTCAGTTTGTGCTGCACCAGGGCAGCAGCTGCCCCACGGCGGTGGGGCTTCAGCTTCCCAAACTCCTTGTAGCTGCGGTAGTATTGCTGAATGAGCACAGCGGCCCTCCTACTCTGCTGGAACTTCTTCTGTTCATGGTAACTGCGGAATTTACTCTGGATAAGGATGGCGGCCTGCGTCATCTTCTTATAAAGTGCATACTGTCAACAACAAGAAGACTATGTCATGCTTTGCTGTGTGTGAACACTGCAATAGTGCTAGAGGTTTATGCTGTAGTAGGACACAACACAGCCTGAAGCTGGACAGTGAATTCAACTGTTGGTAGTGAAAAGGTTTTACCTTCAAGGCTATCCATGTTAGCTTGCAGACAGAAAAAGGGGAAGCATGATGCATTAAAATACTCTAATATTCACCCAAACTATGAGCATTGTGATGGCTAATTCATGAGCTGACGACACCTGCCTCCTTAAAGACTGTAACAGACATTTCAGTGGAACACGTAGACAAAGCATTTGGTAGATGTGACTATGTCAGGAACACTTTAGCGCTTTGTGTTGCCTACCTGTTTGTATTTCTTGTAACAACGCTGAATAACGGCAGCAGCTACTTCCTGTTGCTCGCGGAGCGGCCGTCCCTGTTGGAGAGTAGAGTGAGATAGGTCAGAGGTCATGGTAGGACCTGCATTTTACCACAAAGGAAATTAGCTGCTCTGTCAGGTCTCTTTGAGGTCTCCTGGTGGCTGGCAAGTTAATGCAACCTTGGAATGAGTTCACCACTGGTAGACTTGCCATGTGAGCAGTGGGGAGGAGGTAAGCTGTGGAGCAACACAGAGCCAAACATCCACCTTAGTATCAGCTGGCACAGATGACTGGAAACAACAGCAAACAGTTTGTCATATGAAAACTCATGTAGCTGGTGGGGAGGTAGCGAGTTAAGACTGGTGAGTGGAGAGCTGTAGATTAAAAACAGGCAGTAGCAGGCTCCATACACCTAACAGACAGAAGCAAAGAGACAGGAGGAGAACATAGGCTCAGTCATGTCTAATTGGAACAGGGATACAGGGGACAGTGCATTGTTCCTCTAAGCAAGGCCATGCTCTGCTCAAGCCACCTTCCCATGCTGAAACCACAGGGACGTATTTGTATATTTTGCTGTTTGTGTTGTAATGTGTATATGAGCAGAGAAACAGAGAATGAGACACAGACAGAAATAGAAAGGTGTGAATAACATTAAGCATGATCAGAAACAGAATATCCACCCCTGAAGGTTACTGCAAAAACCAAAGCTCCATAGCTTGAAATCAAATAAGACCCCCAAACCCCAAAACAAAACCATCTAATTACTCCAATCCTAACAGTACAGCCCCGTCACTGCGGGCTGTAGCACACACAGCATATGGCACCTGAGCGCCAGGCCTGTACCTTGTACTTGCGGAAGGCAGTTTGGACTAGGCGGGCAGCCTCATACAGCTCTCTCTGCTCTGGATCTGACAGAGTCAACTGGGCCAAGTCTCGTTCCACCTTGCTGTTGGAGGCATTGATGAACTCACTCCAGTCAGCTGGGGATGGGAGCATGGCCCTCTCCAGGGGTCCTTCTCTCAGAGGAGACCCCCCGGGACTGAGGCTGGGGTTGGACGATGGGGTCAGGGGTTCATTATAAAGAGATCTGAAGAAAGAGGATGACAGAAGTTTTCACTTCATCTCCTATGTCTAGTGTAAGAATACTGTGAGTAGTGATTATACAAGCTTAGACTACACCTGTGTATTTAACACTTAAACTTTACTATGACATTAAATTGGCAATGTATGTGATGCATGTATAAATCTAATCTTCATAGTGTATAACAAAGTAGTAACCGCAGTGTGGATATGGACAGTGACGTGCGGTCAGGGGAGGCAGGTGAGGCAGAGCCTCCCCTGTCAATCTTGAAAAGAAAAAAAAAGTTAACCATAAAATATAATAAATGTTAATATTTGTCGGCTGATGTGTGTTGTAGGCCCTTTTGCCGTTCAAATACGATGTTGAAGGATTTTTTTTCAATAAAGAATAGCAGAATTTCCATATGTCCCGTTCAAATACATGGAGGAGATGCGCGATGAGGCAGCACTTTGCTGTGCCTCTCGGTGGATCGTGTAATCCTCACAAACTGTATGCGATGCAAATAGTGTGTCGCTGTCCCTCTATATATCGCAAATAAAATGCTTTCAAACACTCATTATATGCTCTGCCTTGCCATAATCTAGATAATGTATAAAATGTAGTTCTGTAACGTGTTTAGGCTCGCAGATTAACCATAAAACCCAGTAAAAAAGTTACTCGGTGAGGCAAACAGTACGTCTGCCTCAAGGCAGAGGGCGCTAGTGAGCCCACAGATTCTTGCGCTACCTACAGTCTTCTTTGTGCTTGTTTATATTTCCTTTACAATCCGCCTTATCAAAATGGAAGATTACATTTACAAGCTGAGAAAATTAGCAAAGCAGGACTTTCAATCAAAACATTTTTGACAGTCTGGACATTTTTGTCCAGAAGGATCTTCTTTATTGAGAACATTTGTTTTAATATTGGATTCAAACGGTAAAAGGGTTTGTAATACATACCAGCTGACAAATGGATTTCGTGTACAAGTAAAGGTAAGACCATAAACTTTTATTATTTCTAGTTAGAAATAAGCTCAACTGGAATAAATTTTAACCTCAAATTAAATATGGGTCACGTTTGTGTGAAGAATGTTGATATGAGATATAAAACATAACACATTGTCTGTTAACAGACAATTTGTATTTGTAAATCTGACTGTAAAAGAGTTAGTGCCTCACCAGCTGTCAACCTCACCACACGTCACTGGATATGGATACCCATATGTGCTGTTCCCTGCCGGACTGCGCGCCTTACCGTAAGTGTATGATGCTCGGCAGCTGTTCCACATCTCCCAAGTAATTGGCAAGCCAGTTCATAGTGTTGCTGACCCCTGAAGTGTCTAAGGGCACAGAGTCCGCAGCGTGGAAGTTGTCCCTTTTGATTCTCTCTGGCGTTGCTTCAATGATGTGCTCTGCCAAAGTCATCATGTTTACCTGTTTTGTTAAGATAAACAAAGATGACTGAGTGGAGGATTCACCTTGACAATGTTTATTACTATATAAGAGACTACACAGTATGGTGATTATTGTTTGGCTCATTTTAAAAATTTGTTTGGCACTGTGACAAAAAATGCTGGATTTACTGTCAGCAGAGAGAGTAATAATGTTGAGGGTGTTACTGTTGGAGGCTAAAATTTCTAATCCAGGACTTCATCTGTTGGAGGAGTAGTTAGACTGAGATGGATGGCTGGAAGAATCCCTTGGCTTTAGAAGTGGATCAATAAAAAGTGTTTATTATGCAGTGATGGTCATCGACAGAGTGCCAGGTTGGCCTGGTGTAAAACGCCTACCGAATGCAGAAGGCTGACGTAAAATAGGTGGCACGATTCCATTATGACCAATTCAAACCTCAGCTTGCTGTCCATTTCTTCACTGGTCACTGTGTAGCTCCTATGCATGCCACTTCAAAAAGTGGTGACACTGAAAGATCCGTACCATGTCCTCCCTCTGATAGTACATATGCTTTATAAGCAAGGCCTACTTTACTACACTTTATGCTCTTTTTACAAAAGAGATTAGTTAACATTGCCACTTCCCTGCCAGATTTTCTTTTCTCCTATGCATCATGTGGTTGTCATTTGAGCTGCCTTATTGTGTAGTATGCCATTTACATTTACATCAATAGCAAAATGTTTTTGGCCCAGATTAATTCCTTCGGAATGTCGGTGCCACATTCTAGACATTAAGCTCAGCGAGTACCTGCAGGTCATCCATCTGTGTGAGACAGTCCTGGTTTTCCAGATCCTCCCGGTAGGATAACAGTTCTGCATCAGCCATTTCTCTGTCTGCCATCACCAACATGCCTAGCTGTTCCCGTTGGCGTAATCGGTTGATCAGTTTCTCCTTCCCCACACTGCTGCCTCCACTGACCCCCAGTGCCTTCCTCCCCATGCCGCTGCTGGAGAAACTCTCTCTGGGGGTCCATCTGGCTGTCCCTGTGCTGCCTCCTGTCGACAGGCCCTTGTCTGAGCTCAAGCCCTCTGAGGACAGGCTCTTGGGACTAGACAGCTTGTGAAGCTGTTGCTGCTCCAGGCTCAGAGGAACAGACATGGCCTTGTCAGGCCGGGTCTGAAACAGTTCTGGATTGGGTTTATGTTTTTTAGCTAGTGGTAAGTCTCTTTGGCCCTCGCTGCTGTAGTAGTTGGACGGCTCTGATCTGGGCCTTCTCAAGTCTGCAAAAAACATGACATGTAAAAATTTGCTCCATAATACACTATTAAATAGTACAATACACTAACAAATACTTCATTTGTCATAGACTAACAGAAACATAAAGGATCTTCTAGTCCGTGACTTCCTTCTACTGACCAGGATTGAGGCTGGTGGTGCTGGATGTGGTTGAAGTGGTGGCAGGACCTCCCTTCTTGCCGCTTGGTGTTACTACACTGTCATTTGCCCAGCTGACCATCCAGCTGTCAGTGGCGGGTCCATCAGGGGCTGGGGTGAAAGACATGCGAGTTGTAGGTGGTAAAGGGGCTGGTGGCTGCTGCTCTTCCCTCTGTAGCTGCTCCAGACATTCAGCCAATTTGGTATGGCCACGAGAGCGGGCAATTGACAGGGGCAAGCGACCCAGAGAATCAGGGATAGCTAGAGCACGTCTGTCCCATTTATACAGAACCACTGCTGCCTCCAGGTGACCTAGTGCACACGCCCACATCTGGATGGAAAACAGAAGAATACAATAAGGCAGAGAAATGAAATGAGAGGGTGTCGTTACACTGGACAGCAAGAAATATCAATCAATGTTAACTTCAGGTTTCACTCACCACAGATCACCCAAACTAGGATTTTCTTCATTATAGCTCACACTGTTATAAAGAGGTTAACTTCAACTCTCTTACCAGAGGCGTGCAGGAAAAGTGATCCACATTGAGGGGGTCCACTTCTAACTCCAAATCAATACTATCAGCATGCTTCGTGCTAGATAAAAGAGAGGAAACTATCAGCAACTCAATGCTGTTCACATCAATTACAAACCAAAGCACCATTCTACAGTATGTAGAGCGTTTTGTTCTCACCGCCACTTGATGAGTGTCTGTATGAGGGTGGCGTAGCCCTGGCCTGCAGCCAGGTGGAGGAGTGTCATGCCTCTGAAGGTCTTGGAGTGGATTAAATGTTTAGACTTGGCCCAGCAAGCTCTGCTCATCATCTTCTCACAGACCACCACGACACGGCTCTCAAAGGAGCTGCTTGCCTGTGTCTGGCCAGATACACACTCACATACACAAAAGAGCAAGTCATTATCGGTTGTTCTAAATTTCCCTTGAACACCAACACACATGGCTGGATATCCAATCATTTGATCAACAACAACACAACATGCTTGATTTGATGTACATGATTGTCTTTTTGCACAAAATACGAGTGGTGTGATGTGACTTTTTACCTGTGACTGGCTGTTGTTACCCCCCCCTCCACCTCCTCTGCCCCCTATTGCCCCTGCTCCTCCCCCAGCTCCACCACTCCCTGCACTGCTCGGCTGCTGGTGGCTAGCCATCTCTGCCATCCTCCTCTCCATCTGCTCCAAGCGCTCCAGGATTGACATTCTGAACTGGTTATCTGGACAAACAGTGGGGCACAGAAGAACAAAAAACAATCCAACAAAAAAAAAATTAGCTAACAAACAACATAAGTCTGCCCTATTACCGGCACAAACAACCCTGTGTACTGACAAGACAAATGATCACACAGTATGCACCACAAGCTGCACCAAATATGTTGCTCAGAGCAGCATTAAGAATGTCGCAGTGACTTTGGGCTTAACATCATGAGGCAAACAAACAACCATCGCACAAGTCCACAAGTCTATTTCGGAGACACAGCAAAGCTGATGGCAAGTTAATTTCCTACTTTCACAAAAACCCCCAGGAAAATTATTAATCTCCCCAGAATGTGAGAGGAAAAATAACATCAATTATTCATTTCATCACAACAACTGCTTTACTAAAATAACCTTTAAAGCCCATCAATCATCTGTTAATGTGCACCACTCAAACACAGCCTCAGCAGACTAATACAGGTTGAATGGTTGACCAATGATTGGGGCCATGTTAAATGTGTCCGCCCTTTCACACAGAGCTTCAGACACACTCTGGGGGTAAGTGGGCAGCTGAAGGCCCTCTCTAGTTGATTAAATACAGCCTATAACACCCAAGGAGTCCCAAGCCTCTCCTGATTCATGAGCCTGTATGGTGGGATGACCATAAACCTGACAGCACTGAATCAATCACAACGTCCATCAAGACGGATGGAATTGCATAAGACTTCAGAGTGTTTACATGCTGAAAAGCAGGCAGCTACTGCTCTGCACCCTGTATCTGCCAGAGTGGTTTTATGGGTCCTCTTGGCTCAGGTTTTCAGCCTAGCAACAAGAAAAGCTATTTTCTATGTCCGAATATAGAGCATGAAGCATAATTCAAGCCCTAAGTGAGGAAAGGGAAGAACAAAGCCATACAACCATATTCTAATTGAAACAAATCCAAATAATCAACAGGGTGGAGCTGAAAAATTAAGCAGACTGTAAGAGTGTTGGGCAAGTTTTGATTTCTGCACAAGATACATTTTAGTAATTAATATTAAAAAAGTCCATACGCTCATCAACACTGCAATTTTTACTTGTTGCACAAGGACACAAGGCTCACTGGCACATTTGGGAAACCCCACAAACAAACAATAAACACTTGATGATTGTGAGTGTGTGCACACATGCACATACAAATTATGTTGTGTACAGATAGTGGAATGGAATGGCCACAGAGAGGCCACTGCAGCAGGGAGTACAGAAGACTGCATTAGCATTCCCCATTTAGCCACTATGAGGCCGTTTCTGTGGCAACCTGCTGCCGAGCAGTAACTAGGCGACAGGAACATGGCTGTGTGTGTATGGTCTGCCTGCATGCTATTGGCTTATTGATGAAGGGGAGGAGAAGGACTCAGTACACCAGCAAAAATGGCGAGAGAGTGGCCTACGTTGAAAAAATGGAGTCCATAAATCTTATTTGCTGTGCTTTGGCGTATTTGGCCTACTCTGTTTTCTCCGTGGCGACTCTATAGATAGAGATCTAATGACTCGAAGTGGGGAGCCATCGCAGCATGACCTAGTGACATTTGCGCATTATGGTATCTTGGCAGTCATGGCTCGGGGCTCTGTGGAGAGCTAATGTCACAGTCAGACCTCCCAGAAGCCACTGTAAAAGAGGTCAAGTAACTACTATCACCGGACAGAAAAACATAATGTCACTGGCTGGTGAATTACCGCTCTCACTGACAACATGCTGCACTGTGAATAATGGACGTACAGGGCAACACTGAGGTCTCTTTGAGCCCGTGTGCGCTGTAGACTGTGCAAGTGAGCATGCTGTCAGATCAGCAGATCACTCTCCTATTGAGCAAGAAAGATACTGCTTCCTTCTATGTGGGATCCATCTTCACCTGTCCATCATGGTGACTTGTGGAGACACGTGAGGTGAAGAGTTGAGAGCCTGTTCCAAACTGAGTGCTTGTGTCAAGAGGAAAACCAGAGGGTTGAGATAGGTCACAGCACTACAGTCTGCTTTTATACAAAGCTAAGCTCTTCCTCTCCTTCTGGTTGGCATGTGGTGAGAGACAGAGAGATGAGGAGAGAGAGGGGATAGTTAGCAGTAGGCTGACATATCTTTGTTCAGACCCAGTGCTGCAGTGTGCTGCAGTGCAGATGATGTCATCTCCACCTGCTGCCTGCTGCTCCAAATGCGATGCACGTCCACTGCAGAGGGAGGATGGGGGTAGAGACGAGTGGGAGGCAAGAGGGAGGAGACAGGCGAGGTGAGCAGCCGAACAGAACTGTAACAACACAGTGACGTGGGTAACGCCCTCCCACTCTTCGGTTTACTCCCCTGTGACAGTGTGTGACAGCAGACATGGTGACTCTCAAACATTTAGGGCAGACTGTGACATGTCATTTTAAAAATAAGGCAGAGCACCACTCATTATTTTTAGAACATTTAAATGAAAACTTGCTAGTCCAACCAAAATTAGTCTAGCCAAAGTGTAAACCTACAGCTGTCATGCTGTCCAAAACCAGCCTAAGTTTATGTGGATCACTTCAGCTCCCTTGTTTTGGTGCCGAGTTCCCCTGCAGGACCCAGACCTTTGCTATCTTTGTTCATCCAAATTAGATATGAACAATACAAAACAAGAGAGAATTCTTTGCTTTTCTGAATAAAAATCTACACAAATCTTCATGCTTCTTCAGTTTTCTCACATTTCTACAGTATCTACATAAACTCATCTTCAGCATGGGTTATCTACTGAGCATTATTCTAAAGAGAATAGCTAACAGAGCAAAGAGTAAACCATTTTTTCCTATACAGTCTGTTACATAAAGCTTAGGCCGTGCCTTCTGAAGATACAATGAATCTGTCGCTAAATGACTTGTCTCCTTTTAGAAGGAAATGGAAACCCTCTCACCTCTGGGGCAAAAGGCTGGAGAGGATTAGAAAATTCCATGCTTCAGGTTTTTTTATTAGAGTGACCATTTCCTTTGCTAAAGAGGGAATGCTACGACCCAGGAATGTGAAGAAATAGAAGAAAGAAAGAAAGAAACTTTATGACCAGTAAGCCAAATGGGTCAGTTTGGTGCAGTGGTCTTGTGTCACTGCCATCCTCTGAGAGAATCAGAGAGCAAGTGAGGTTCAATCCTCACAAATCACAGTTCTTCCCCGTGTCTTGTCTTGTCTCTGGGAAATGGCGGCAGCGCCTCTTGAAACAGGTTGATATACAGACGGACAAAGGAAGGAAGGAGAGAGCTGTTTATTGACACACAGTGGGAAACAGTGGGAGTGAGAACAAGCTGAAGTGAGGAGGTCAAAGACAGCAGGAGAGACTGCAGGGACAGGTAGAGGACAAGGGTGAAGTGAGATGAGAGGACAGGTGGAAGATGAGAGAGGGCAGAAGAAAAAAGAGAGGGGAGGACAGGGAGGAGAGAGAGGACATGCCAAGAGAGAAGCAGTCATTGAGACAGATGGGAGAACTCAGCGG